CGCACGGAGCCCCCCCAGCAAGACCTGACCACTGCGACACGTTCCTTCCTTCCCACATAGGTTCTATCGTCTGACGATGGCTCAAACATTAGTTCCTCTCCTCCCGTGACCGCCTTTAGCGACCCGGCAGCGGTGCCAGCTGTGCCAGTCATGCCCCGCAAGACGCTGTAGCCTGCTTCAGGCACATGTGATCTGATCTCCTCCCTCTTGCTCCGAAGATATCGGCAGTTTGGAAACGAAGTGGAGAAGTGGAGGAGGGCCTCTTGAGCAGTTTCCGAAGATCCTCCCTTTCTGGTACCTTGAGCATGGATTGCAAGGCAGAGCTCCCGAAGCTCCGGAAGTGAAGCTCGGCCAGGGCCTGGGGAAAATCGCAGGATTCGGGCTGTCGGATCCCGGGCTCGCCGGCCCCGCGCTCCTCTGAGGAGTTCCGCCTTGCGTTTTCCTCGGAGCAGCAGCTCATCTCCGGCGAGTTGAGGGTTTCTTGGCTGCTTGCTATGACATGACGCCAAGATCGCCAAGCCGACCTCGCTGACGTCGGCAGGCTCCAGCCGCATCGCCTTGCAGAGGTTTTCGCGGCCCCGTTCGCAGCCACGAGTCAGCCAAAACCCTAAAGCCTAGACCTGAACCCCAGTCACCCTGTTGTGATGCTGCCCACTGTTTTCGAGAGCTCCCATATCTGCATGCCTGCCTGGGTGTTCAAAAGCCTTCGCCAAGTCAAGCTTGCGAAAAGCGAGGTTTAACCAGAAATGGACTGCTTGGACTATCTCGGCAGCCGGTGAGAGAAGTTGATCTTCTTGGGGCTGGGGGAGGAAGGCAAAGTTGTTGCCTTCGCTTTCAGCCCGCTCTTCGGTGCTGTGCGGCGTCGACGTGAAAAGTCTCCTGATGCTGTTTCCAAGCATCTGTTGCTCACCGGGGCCTTCACAGGTGCACTGAGAGAATCACCCATGGATTCTGGAGAACGATACCAGGAAAATGAATGAAATTCTCGAAGCACCACACTGGCCCTCAATCCGACGAGATGTGCTGCATGCAACGCACGAGCCTGGCTCGCAGTCTGCTACATAAGGCTGAAATTAGAAGCACCAGGAATCCTGGAACTCCCACGTTCTTGCTCACGTCGAAAGATAAGAGGAACGTACAGAACGTGCAGGGATGAGCGCCTTCTTCACAGGGCTTCGGCTGCGCTTGGGCGACACAACCTCGAGCTCGAGCACATGGCAGTTTTCAATGATGTCGAAGGCTCAACCCCCGCGCTTAATAAATGTAGGAGTGGCGGGGGTTGCATAATTGTAGGACATGTTTTCCTACAATTGCCACTGTCCGTGTCCAGCGGAAATAAGCATGCGTGGCTTGCCCTGCACGAGGTAGCTGCAAAACGTGGACCCAGACGTGGGATCCTACAATTGACACATTCGTATCGGTGGAGGAGTGAAAATTGTAATCTACATTTTCTCTCCCCTCCCCTCCTAAGCACGGGGGGCTGAAGGCTCCAAAAACTTAGGATACGTCAGGATCTTTCCGCCCGAATTTGGTTCGGAGTTCTCTGCTGAGCCAAAGATTTTCTCGCAGCCTTGTCGCACTCTTTGTCGGACTGCTTTGGCACTGCCTGCCATCTTCGGTCAATCAGCGGCGAGAGGGACCACAGCAGCATTTGACAAGGGAGCTGCATGCCACTGGATCATGCGCTAGTCAGCTAGTCTAGTCGTCAAAAGCCCTGTAGGCAACGATAAGAGGGATGAGACCAGTGCCAGCAACTTGCTACCAGAGACCTTAACAACGCCCTCCCAAAGGAGACGCCTGGCAACAGTACAATCCTTCCCTATAATGCGTTGGTGTGCTTGCATGTTAAATCAAAGCCTTCGCCCGTGACGCCTTTCCCTTACCGGTCGCTGCAACAAGCTTCGCAGTGGCCTGCACAGCGATGCAAAGCTCGTCCGGCTCGGTGCATGGCTTCGTGTTCCGAGATGATGGGCGCAGGCCGCAGCATCAGAAGCAGAACCGTTCATGATCTGTACCGGTCAACCGTTCCTTCTCACTAGACTCTTGCCTGCTGTGCAGTAGCACAGCAAGCCTGTCCTGCGCTGTCGGAGCTGCCGTGGAGCTGCTGTTCGAATTGTCACAACGAGAACAAGATTGCGTGCGCTTGCGCTGCGCCGTGCGAACACCCGAAGACGCAGATGCTAGAGTCCACCGGCCTGAGTGCGCCCTCTTGGTGCAGAAAGTGGTGCCTGTTCATAACACCCCCCTTGCCAACAACATTGTCAGCTTCTCTGCAGCCACTTGCATCGAGCACACATGCACCACATGCACCACCGTTCCGCTCTCTCAGCGTCTCTGCGTTCGAATGCTGTCGATCCCCTCATGGCAGGCCTGTTCAAACTCGTCAGCCGGCACCGGCTGTGGTGGTGAGGCCTGCGATCGAACGAACGTGCACCGGCAGATGCACCAAGACATGTCACAATGCCACCTCCTTCCGGCGCCCACGCCGCTCAGCAGTGACGCAGCCGTAGTCGGTGGCTTTATGGTTCTGTTGGGTCTGTAGGTTGCAATCCATTTGAACCGTTTCTTGACAATATAGTGCCACAACGACGTTAGGCCACAGTATCTGCGCAGACTGTTGGCCAATTTGAAAAGGGAAGATGGGCCTCTACTTCTCAAATCTCTTGCCTTGGCTCGGGAAGGTTGTGCGGCGGCCTTCCCATGCTCCCAAACAAACGACAAACAAGCATATGCCTCGCGAGGGACGCAGAAAAGGGGTTAATAGTTTAGTGTTTAGGGCTTGAGGTCCCAGTGTGCAGCCTGATCGCTGTCTTTTGGGCACATGCCTTCCAGACCGAGTGCAACTACGGCAGCTACGGACCGCGTTGAGCCACCGATAATCCGGTATTGTCACCTTGCCATAGCAGAGTCTTGAGCTGACTCTGTGCTGCCAGCGCTCCTCTCAAGCGGTTCTTCGCACGTGCTCGTTTCTGCGGGCAATGCGGAACTGCCCAGCAGGACTCTGCGAGCAGTCATGTGTGCATCAGGAGAGACACGCAGATTTTTCCTGGCTGTGGAAGATGCAGGCTTGCCGTCTTTTGGGCTCCTTTGGTGTCTCCCGCTAGTCTGGAGGGGGCGTTGTGTAGATCTTGCAAGCAGGGTACACATGTCCACGTGTGCTTCTGGAAGCTGGTCATATCACTGGTGTGATTTGAAGCTGTTCCCGTTTCGTGAGCTGCCATCTTTGTGTAGTGTGTGCCGCCTAGTCATGCCTAGCCACTCTTATTCCGTCCAAGCCTGCTAGTGCAGACGTAGTGGGCCTCCTCGTTGTCTTTGCATATGCCTTCCAGACCTGGTCCAGCCTTCTCGAGCCTTGCCTTCTCGGGAGTGCAACTGCCGACCACCGCCACCGCGAGCCACTGCGAGCCGGTACCGTCTGGCTGCACCCAAAAGACGCAGGGAACCAGTTTTTGAGTGTCTGTGCTGCCGGTTCCCGCCTCTCCGTGCAGCGCGGAGCCGCAGCCAGACTTTGCCATGCGCTCGTGGCGACGCGGCCACTTCCGCAGCGGCTCTTTCAAAGAGGCTTTTCAAAGAGGCTCTATCAGAGGAAGACTCGCAGCCCGAGCTTCCGACTCCTTATGCCTTGAAGGCCTGCAACCTCAAGGAAGGTCGGGGCTACAAGGGGGATCCTGGCTTCATCTGCAAGACCCCAGCCAAGGGGGAGAAGGCACCAGTGGCAGTACAGATCCACTGATTTTTCTAGGGAACTCCGAGGACGTCGGATTTGCCCATGCGGGCCAAGAATGACGGGAGTTTCGGTGCCCGACGCGGCATGCCACAAGGCGGTGCAGGAGCTGGTGCAGCGCGCCGCCCAGATTCCTCGAACTCATACCAGTCGCCTCGCTGCACGCGTTCCGCAAGCTTGAATGCTAGCCCTAAGCCACGAATAATCTCACAACCCTACACAAACTCCCCCAGGCACGGCTGACGGCCCTCCGCGGCTTGGCGGTTGCTCCCTTTTGCAGCACGACTCCGCGGCAACACATCTCAGAGGCAGCACTCTGTTGTGAAGCTTCTGTCGAAACGTGCATTGTATCTTGATAAAGCCCACCTGCTGCATGCAGCGTGACGTGCCGAAACGAATCTTTCGGGCACTCACACTGCTCTCCGTGCGAAGTGTATTAATTAAGTTTCAAGCAGCAGCGCCTTTAGCACAGCCGCAGTATTTCTCAAGCAACGCTTGCGAGCAAAGACCTGCACATTGGTGGTCCTCCGGCACTAAGGGGCATAGTCCTTGGTTGTAGTCCGGCTCCAGGACAGCCTTTTCTGTTCGACCCGGCATGCTGCCTGACTCCATCACACCAGCTTTTGACGCTTTGTTTTGTCACATCCTCCTGCTTACAGGGCCCTCCGTGGCCTAGCAGTTGTTCCCAGACGGAGCTTGAGGATGGGGAATAGTGGAGATAGGACCGGTGCAGAGCTTGGTGGACGTCGTAGGAATGATGCATGGTCCGTGGAAGCAGCATGCTCTGAAGGCTCTGTGAATGATAGGATAGGCTGGCAGTCGCTGAACGCCTTTGCCAAATTTCACCCAGCTACATAGGCCTTACTTGCATGCCAGTGCAGGGAGCGCGGTGCATAGTCCACAAGGACTGCACTGCCCAGGGGTGCGAGTGACCACTAAGCGAGCACCGCACCGCACGATGGGGAGAATGAAAATGGCTGTGCGCACGGCGCAAGCATCGTTTCAACACTTGTTTAAACTTGAAGATTCGTTGGAAAGCCTGGTGTGCGATGCCGTGTAGCTTCAAAACATGACGTCATGAAGCCAACCAGAGAAATCCAGTACTAGTAGACTGGTTGGGTTTCAGTCACTGTTATTGTTCTTTTCGCGAGTGTGGATGCTTTGATCTGAGCAATCATGAATTCGAAACCATCGCAGCTCGTTTCCGGTCTTAGTACTACGTCTAAAGATCTGCAGTCTTAGATTCGGGAATTCTTCCTTGTGTTTCGGCATCGCCATGACGGTGGGCATTTCCAGAGGCTATGAGCCCGGACGAGTGCTGCTATTCTTGCCCACCACCGACATAGGCCAACTCTTGGAGCCATGTTTAGCCGTTGCGGGTTTGAGAGGTTTTTTCATATAATTTCAAGGTCTGGGTTTTAGCTTCCGGGAGACGGGGGGAGCTGAGGGCTTCTTGACCCTAGTGGTGGGCCCTAAACCCTAAACCCTATACCCTAAACCCTAAACCCCTAAACCCTAAACCCTAAACCCCAAAACCCCTAACCCCTAAAACCCCTGAACCCTAAA